GCTGGCTGCCCAGGACATCACAGCTGGTGAGTGCCATCATGATGCTGGCTGCCCAGGACATCACAGCTGGTGAGTGCCATCATGATGCTGGCTGCCCAGGACATCACAGCTGGTGAGTGCCGTCATGATGCTGGCTGCCCAGGACATCACAGCTGGTGAGTGCCATGCAGAGCCACTGTAGTGCAGTAATAAAAAAATATAACTCAGGACTCACTGCAGTGAGTGACAGAGAGCGCTTTTTCTCGTCGACGAAAACGTGAATTCACGGACGGACTTGACAAGCACAATAGTGCATTTTTCCAGAAATTAGAAAATGCGCTAAAAAGGCATTGAAGTTGGTGCAGCTAAGTCGGATATTTGAGACCTGGGTACGGTTGCTTGCTTTCTTTGGTGCCACTTGGGAAGAAGTATCAAAGGTGGTGCATCGGCGTAGTCTTGCTTTACACCATTAGTTAGCTTTGTGGCATAACTTGAAATTAATGTTCTCATTGTTTCCCTCTTCATCCTTCTCATTCCCACTACGTCCTCTTCATTAGATAATACTTCTTGCGTATTATAATTACCATTGAATGTAGTATACTGTATTATGATGTGTTATATAACATCATACCTCGTCAGGCACGCTGACGGTGGGTGACCTGGTGATGGTGAACGGTCTGCTGTTTGGTATCCGCAATTATCATATAATATACTATATTATGTTGTCTTATTTAACATCATCCCTCGTCAGGCACGCTGACGGTGGGTGACCTGGTGATGGTGAACGGTCTGCTGTTCCAGCTCTCCATCCCCCTGAACTTCCTGGGCTCGGTGTACCGGGAGGTGCGGCAGGCGCTGCTCGACATGCAGGCCATGTTTGGCATCCTCAAGCAGAGTTCGGCTATAGCCGTGAGTTTATTGCCATGTGTGGTCTCTTCAACTTTTAGATTGTTTTACATCAATTCGTACCTATATTACTACATCAATTCGTACCTATACTACTATAGTAAATAAAACTGTCAAGAATTCATGTTTCTATTACTTTGCGTTTTTACTTTGTTTGCGATTGTAGGGGCAAATGCCTAGGTGAAATTTCTTTTTGATTCTTTTCTGTACACGAGAGTTTATGCAATTTAAATATTCGTCTCCAATTTCATACTGGGAATATTTACCTTTACAAAACAAGGCAACTACACGTTTTGAATGCGCAGTTCCAATTTTTTCAATTAATGGTATTTTTGATAGTTGTTTCATTTTTCATTACAGCGACAGAGAATTTTTCATAGTTAGATACTACTTAGAAAATTGTGATATTTCAGGAACTGCCGAATGCCTCGCTGCTCCAAGTCTCAACACTCAACTCGAGCATAGAGTTCCAAGACGTATCGTTTAGTTACGTTCCCGGCCACAAAATCCTGGACAACTTAAGTTTCACTGTCGCTCCGGGCAGCAAAGTCGCCGTTGTGGGAGGTTCAGGCTGCGGCAAGTCCACAATAGTTCGTCTTTTGTACAGATTTTACGCACCACAGAGCGGCTCTATCCGCGTGGCGGGTCAGAACATCAATGCTGTAACACTCGACAGCCTGAGGAACTCCATCGCCGTAGTGCCTCAAGACTGCGTCTTATTCCATGACACGATAGAGCACAACCTCAGGTACGGCAGACTTGACGCTACGCCTGAAGAAGTTCACAAGGTTGCCGCCATGACGGAACTACACAACACGATCCTTGCGTGGCCCAACCAGTACCAAACTCAGGTTCGTCCCTGTGTGTGTGGGTGTGGTTGTATATTGTCAATCCTGGTAATGGAAACTATTTGATCAAGACCTTCCACCTCAATGGTGATGTTCATCTTGACTTTCGGTGCGAGATAGCTAAATAGCTGAAGCGCTAGTAAACATTTGGCCACTAAACTAACTAACTAACTTGATCAAGTGGTGATAGGTCAGTTTATCAGACCACTACGTCGTTCCTTCTGTGCATTTATTTCAGTATTCAGTGATGCATTGACGTGATCAGCTAGAATCAGTTCACTGCAAATATATATAAGATAACTGTTCTATATCTGTCTCTTATACACATCTAGATGTGTATAAGAGACAGGTGCGGTTGAGGGTGACGGGTGCCATGTCGCTCCTGGTGGGGGCTAAGCTCGTCAACGTGCAGGTTCCCTTCATCTTTAAAGACGCCGTCAACTTCCTGAACGACCAGACGGGCGGTGCCCTGGGTATGAGTACGGCTCCTGAAGCAGTGCTGACTACTGCCACAGCACTCATGCTCGGCTGTGAGTAAAATGCTTATTTAAATTAGGTGTTGTCGCCGTTATTTAGTTAAAAATTTGAAAATATTATGCAGCCTTTTTAAATTAAGTGTTGTCGCTGTTCTTTAGGTAAAAATTTGAAAGTATTATGCAGCCTTTTTAAATTATGTGTTGTTGCCGTTCTTTGGGTAAAAATTTGAAAATATTATGCAGCCTTTTTAAATTAAGTGTTATTGGCGNGCCAGAGTTACAGAGTTGGTGCTGCCAGAGTTACAGAGTTGCTGCTGCCAGAGTTACAGAGTTGCTGCTGCCAGAGTTACAGAGTTGCTACTGCCAAAGTTACAGAGTTGGTGCTGCCAGAGTTACAGAGTTGTTCCCTGCAGGTTGGAGAACGCGGTCTGAAGTTGTCTGGCGGGGAGAAGCAGCGTGTGGCCATCGCGCGGACGATCCTCAAAGACGCGCCCATCCTCGTGTTCGACGAAGCGACCTCCTCTCTCGACTCCCTCACCGAGCAGGTGCTTCCCTCTTCACGGTTCTTGCGGCCTAAGTACAAGTAGCGGACTAGTTATATACATATATACATACATACATACATATACAGTCCTCGTTTTCGACGAAGCGACCTCCTCCCTCGACTCCCTCACCGAGCAGGTGCTTCCCTCTTTAGAGTTCTTGCGGCCTAAGTACAAGTAGCAGCCTTAGCACATGCAGTGTGTAAAACTTGTGTGTTACACATAGAATTAGTATTAAGCCGGGACTACCATATTGTCGCATATAGTTTCATCTTACTATTTCATATTAATATTTTCATATTTTAGTTTCATATTAATATATTTCATATAGTTTAATATACAGTTTCATGTAGGTATAGCTTCATATTAATATTTTTTCATTATTGCAGTAGGTACCTTGTTAGTGAATAGATGATAAATTAAAAAGATATTTCCTGATGTGTCCCAGAGCATCATGACAGCATTGGCGCGAGCGACAGCTGGCCGCACGTCCGTCTGCATCGCGCACCGTACATTCTAGCTGTGAGTAATTATCGTGCTGCTGGCTTCGTGTAAATGGGTACTGGGTACTGAGGTGGCAAGAAACGTTTATACTCGAATCCAGTAGCACGGTAAATAGTTGCGGTTAGTATTGGAAAGCAGCACTAGCCGTCACTACTGTCCCTGTATACAAGCACCCTAAGCGAATTTTGAGTTTACTGCCATAAGACCGCATAAATGTCTTGCACTTTGTGCATTCGTACAGAAATCTAAGTGGAAAATGTCGTTAATTAATAATTTATTCACTGAAAACACTAATGTTTGGTAGTTAACATAAGGAATTTTAATTCAGCCAAGTCATGCTTACTAATTCTCATTTTAGAAGCCAAATCTATAGTTTTGATGCACGATTTGCCCATTTGTTGCCATACTATGCAAGGATTTTAAGTTTTGCTTGTAGTTTCAGACAAGATCGAAACATTTATTTTTGCCGACGCCTTCCTTGCTGTTTGGCTGAAATTTTTAGGGACTACTCTTCGAGGAAATGCCTCATGCTAATTTATTATCCGCTTCTAGAGGACTATCGAGTATTTTAGGCAGTGATGTCGTCTGATTTATCAAGATAGATGAGTAATAATTTCTGTGGTCCCTTCATCGAATTTGTTGGTCATTCTTTCACGAAACTGTTAGGGATTCTTCACTTCTCCATATGCATAACGCATACATTTTTTATAACTAATTGTATCTTCAGTTATCAAAAACAAATCGTGCTGCGCTTTCTTTTTGAGGAAAGTGCGGGTGCATTTTTTTATAATATCTTATTAAAACCTCGTCTCCATTGGCTGAGTCCAGTTCCGGAAAATGTTTGGGTGCTAGTGTCACAGTCATGCAGAAGCTGCTGAACTTGCAAAGTAGAAACGGATAGGATTCTTTCCTTCATGAATGAGAGTGATATCAGCAACCCCTACTGCTACTTCAACTCGAACAAATGGTTACTTACTATGACTTACTCATTGGACTTTCGATGTAAATATTTTTGTACATTGTGAACTCTGTTTACACTGTTGCATATATGAATAGGATCTTCCCATGTTGTCATTACCCTTTTCTTTTGTACATGCATTACTATTCAACCTATCAATTACACTATCGTTATAAATTCCGAACTAGTCTCCGCACTCAAGACTTGTCCTCAAGTCATCCATGTTCCTGTACGTGTGCAAAGTCATACTTGTCTATGGCACCTAAACCTCAAGAGCGTCTCGGTAATTCCTCTAATTTTACCTGTTATTTATGCAGTTTACATTTTTGTACTTTTCTGGTGTTTTGGGAGTAAATGTAGAAATGCTATTTGGGATACTGAGCATATTTGAAAAGATATTTTACCTCCGCATTTTGGATCTTTCTTGAGGTTATGCAGAAAGTTTTCTGTGGGTAGATGCCTCTAGGCGATGGTGACGATGTTACGTTAAATTGTTACATATTTATTAACGCTTACGTATCCCGTGTACAGGGTATAGTTGATAATGAGATTGCGAGTTTTTATCTTCCCTGCAAAATTTTGGAGTTGGAAAAGGGTTTAATTGAGATACCATATAATGTCTGATGTTTTTTTAACGTTTAAATCACAGTATTTAACTGTTGTCGCCCACCGCGCATACATACCTCACGTTGCACTGGGCTGTGAACTAGACCAAGTTCGAAGTCAGTTACGTATGGCCACATCGGACGGGGCGGAGCGTTACGTTTAATAAGCGGAAATATACATTACGAAGGATCTTAGTGACGTTCTCATTGAACAACTTCGACTAGAACACCAAGTTTGAGATATGATTTCGGCTAATATTGACATACAGAGATAGTGGTGGTGAGAAACCTCATCATACGAGACAATTCATCATTAAAGAAATAAGCCATAAAATATCATCATTGTATAAAGTGCATTTTGCAAACATAAGTACATTTAGTTTAGGTTAAATTGGTGAAGGATTAGATGTCCTAACAATGGAATGTCTCTGTCTCTTACAATGAGTTGCCATTGAACCAAAGATGGTACACAAGGCTTCGGCTGCCGTAGACATGAACGGCTCTTACGTAAAGCATTTATAATTTCAGCAAATGTTTATATAGTTAACAGAAAAACATGCGGGTGAAGAGCTCGAGCCTGGAATCCGCGAATCTTGATTCTCAAACAATAAAGGAGAATCGCGGACGGAAAAATCAAATAACGGAGAATTTTATCTCGCGTGAAGAAGATTGGACAAAGTTCCACATGCAGTTTTTATCCGATAATGGTTCTTAACAAAAAATGAAGAATGTCCTAATCTAAATGTGCATCACAGATTGACAAACGCAGGCGTAGCACCACAGAAAATACAATGCAGATATGCTTATCAATAACGAGGATAATGACTAACATTGGAGTACATGAAGCACAGAATTTTTCAACTATTGAAGTATGAGAATCACATACACAAGACGACTAGTAAGAGACCACAGAGACTGCATCAAATATTCAAGGAAATTATCATCTCAGAAAGACCACAAATCTCCGAGCAAAAATCTGACGTGAAGGTTCTGCTTTGCCTTTAAAAAATGTCGGCTACATAATCGGCCTATTTAATCAACAGTACAATCTCTGATACTACAAAAATTAAAAAACAATGTCGGCAAGCGTCATACGCTTACACTCGGATCTGCCACGACCCGTTCAGCCAACATGATAGGCTAAGACGCTTGGGTATAACAATACTGAATTTATGGAATCTATCGAAGTTGCATCAGTAGAAATCTTATCTATAAACCGTCTTTACCACTCGCTACTTATCCGTTAAACTACACTACTTATCTTTGGCTCGAGTCTGCGGCGTAAGGAATGTTCCTCTTTACCTTAATTAATTATAGGAGGAGTTCTATCTCCATACATTCCTAAATTTATCAAAATTTTCCAACTACACACTGGAAATTCTAAGCGAGAATGGTTCCAGAATAATAACTGCACACACATCAAACTTCCTCAAAACATTGCAAGTCGCGTTTAATTAAACCACATGATTGGAAACAGCTAACACTATATTGTCGATTGACGAGACCATATTCCAGAGTAACTAACAAGGCTGGAACACAAATTTTCGAATTATTTTAATACGTGAAATTGATAGGAGCAATATATTTTAGAGGTTTGTTTTTACCGTTTTCGAGTTTTTAATATTACTCAAGTGAAATATAATTATTCCAGATAGCGCGACACCAGCAGAAATTTTACACGCAAGTTAAGGAGGGATGGGAATCATTAAGGCTAAGGCAGTGGCGAGCTTGGCTTGCAGTACCTCAAGTCTAACAATATCCCTTACAATATTTCAAATACACTTTTCTAACCTTTATACCACTTCTTTGTCAATACCTGTGTGATAACGTTCATACCGTCGTACAGCAATACCAACGTTTTCGCGAGAAAAAGTTCCTAAAAAATTATAACAGAAAAGCGAAAATTACAAAAAAAAAGCCTGGACACAAACTAGAATTGACGTGATATCTCAGCTCGACAGCCCTTAAAGTTGCACGAGCATAATAACAAGTGACAAACGACTCTCCTTAGTAAATATTTCGTGAATAGAAATAAGACGAGATAACAATTTGAATGTAGAAAATAAACCTAACGAAATAATTGACTCACGTGAAATGATGACAAATTAGAAGCTAGGTAATTTGAATAATGAACAGTCAAAAGCACTCGGAACTGAATTGCGATAATGTGGTCACAGCTGTTAAGTTGTTGCTTAACCGCGCATATCTGCCATTACCCTATAAGGCGTACGAATGGATACTGCTGGTAGAAAATTAAATTACTTGCAAATTGGTTATTTCTGTAAAGTGAAAAATGAGTCTTCATAGCTTGGCAAGATATTGGCTCCAAATTTTCATTAGGGCTGAGGCTTGATTGGCATTTAAGAACACGTATATCGTTTCAGTGTCTACCAGGATTAAATGGCTCTTAGAAGAGAATAATTTTAAAGATTTACAAACAACATCGAGATGGAGATAGAGAACAGGTATCACCCGAACATATAAGGTTGTGACCAATTGAGTAAGTAGATCACATCGAGTTAAAAGCAGCACACTAATCGTATATGTATATGTGAATACTTATTTGATAAACAACACGCCATGAATTCTGAATTTAAAATTACCACGAACATAAATCGAATGACTGAATAACACACGTAAAAATGGTCAAGTTTATGCACATTTTTTTACGCACTGAGTATAAAGCTTTCAAAGGAGGGGAATGGAGAGTTGAATTCAATAATCGAAAAGCGATTCTTACTTCAGTTCGTGTAAAGTTCATTAGAATAAAATAGAGTTGAAGTTTCATATAAATTTCCGAATAAGACTTTAGGGGTTTAAGAATTCAATATAACAGGAATTTAAAATTTCAGAGGATATCTATCCTCCACACCAGGATAAACAACTAGTAAACTATATTTTAAAGCAACAATAGGTTAAAAATTTAATACAGTTAAGACAGTGAACACAGGAAGATAAGCGTAGCACTGAGAAGACATTAGAAAAGTGTACAGTAAATAGATGAGTGCAACAAATGGCAACGAGTATATGTATTTATCACAATCTATTAGCAACTATAATGACTAGCCACCTTAGTCAACTTAGTAGCAACTCAGCAAGCTGCTCGATAACATCCAAGTCTGCCAGTGAAGGAACCTACCAGTCCAACATGACGATGCATATTGAACTATGGTTACCTTGCATCGTCCTCAGACCGATTATGCTGATACTTGCCCACTCATGATAGAGATTTGATAGGGCTGCTTATAATTGTTTATATTACCGATTATATTGGAGTTATCTCGTAGTCATTCAATTACAAGAACACACAGTTGCACATTCACAAAAAGAAACAGACTCTGTTTATCTTTATATGAAACATCTTGATAAATTATCAAAGCTAAATATCTTTGCATTGTTAGCGAGCACATGAGCATAATCTCACAGGGAGACAAGAATTCAGATCGCAAGACTTGATTAACATACAAGCTTTCTCAGAGGCAACGTAAGTTAAGCGAATTACATAACATCAATTGCCTATATGAGTCCGGGAGTGACAAATTGTGTCAACTAAGACACTGTGTCACACTTACGTAAATACTGACACTGGGAATACATTATGGAATCGTCAAATAAATAAGTAGAATTTCACTTCACCTTCTTGTGATAATTTTGTCGAGCCTGTTCTCAGGGTGTTTAAATTGCTTGTTCAGGATACTTTGCGCCAACTATATGACAATGGCAACAATTATAACATTCCCTTAAAACAATAAATTGACGAGTCTCTCTTTAAAGAATGTAATAGTAACTAAATGCTAGAAGAACATGTCAAAGAGGAAGTATTGGCAAGTTAAGAATAATTCATCCTAACGTCACGGAAATACAATAACAAAATCCTCACTTATGATGACAAGTGACTAGGCAATCGCACATCACATAAATAAGCGTGCAAATTCAAATTGAAGAATCGCGTAAGAAGTTACCCAGAGCATGCAGGCAGGCAGGTTTAATTTTCTTAGCACCAAGTAGTAAGTTACACACACATTTATAGCAGAGCGAGCGTTCAGATAGCGGAATCCTGACAAAAAAAAAAAAAAAAACGCTGCGACGACAGACGCGGGCGGCGTAAGTAGCGAGGAGTTGGCTCGACAAGCGCGATGGTGAGGAGGTCGTAAAAAGAACCAGCTTCGTTAGAACGTCAATATGGGACCCGTCTCGTGGTCCAGAATATCTGTAAACACAGACATGATCACAAGCTGAAACACACCCGTAAGTGACGAGACAAGATGGACGTTGTAGGTCACAGTCAAAACGTTTCTATAAGTGAAATAGTTAACGAAATACTAACCAAAGACTAGTATGGGAGATGGACAAGTAGCAACATCCAATTCATTTCAAATTATTCAGCTACTGAAACCCTCAATCACCTCAGTAACTAATTGAATTTGTCTAACAAGCTTGAACATAAATCTAGTGCCAATTCACTTCCAAAATCCCGGTATATAAAACTCTTACCCATCAACTATTAATTTCCACGCAAGCTAGAGCCTTTCCATTCTTCATTGGTCTCTTGGACGATTAATTGATCCATTTACCCACGCGTTACCTACATCGTGATGAAGCTCACCAGTGATGATGTGGAACCACGGCAAGGTGACGTAGGTGATGTAGGCTCACCAGTGATGATGTGGAACCACGGCAAGGTGACGTAGGTGAGGTAGGCGTTGAAGGGCACGGACTGCGCACGACGGTTCTCCTTCCAGAAGTGGAAGGTCTGCGTGAAGCCTCGCGTGCTCCACAGCGGGTTGTACGCTCCGTCGTCCAGCTCTGAAATGGGACAATTGTTTCACGCTTCACAGATATAACATCAGTCTTGCTTAGATTCCCTTCTACTTAATCTTCATAATATATATTTTTGTAATTTTAAACATCTGAAATAACATTTAAACATTGTTCTGAGAAGCTGAATAACCTTAATACTTCACTAATTGCGGAATGCAGCACATACCAAATAATAGTGCAAAGAACTTCACATGAAACAAAGCGCACATAACAAGTTGAACAAAAAGTATTACATTCCATGCACAATTAATAAAAAATAAAACATTCTAGAAGCTAAACTGGAAAATTAACAATGGGGTAGCAATTTGGTGCGGAGTGCGAGCAAAACGACCAGAACGCTACACTAACCTCCTGTTGTGTTATATTCAGAATTTTCGTCCATTATCTTATAGTCATATGATCTTATTATCTTATAGTCATTCTTATCATCTTATGGTCATATTCTTCTATCTTATAGTCATATTCATCATTCCATTAAATTTTCGTCTGATGTCACCAGCTATTCAGAATTTGTATTGATGCAGCTGGATGACGAATAAACTAACAAAACGGAGATCACTCACTATGAATTTTATATACATGCATATTCCTGATGTCACGGATCATTACAAGAATGTAACGAATAATATCACATTAAACACTGTTGACTCGTACTCTAAGGAAGAAGATCAGTATTTAAGAGTCGTGGCTGATCATTTAGAGTGAACTAAGTAGTTTCTCTCGACTCGACTGAAATGGCTTTGATAGACTTGACTAACCATGATATATATCTACTGTGGGCTTTAAACAAAGCTTGGTTCCATAAGGCATCGTTGAAAAATTGACCTAAAATATGTCTCGCGTGGATGAGCGAAATTATCAAGCATCAACTCAATTATGAGAACCCAGCACAGCACCCCACGCACGCATGCAACACTCACTGATGTCGCTCAGGAAGTTCACATGAGTGCCATCAGGACAAATTTTGTACGGCATTGATATCTTCGTCTTTCTAGTTTTTTTGATCCTTCTCAAAAGCGGGTCAGCTACAACAGGCTGTTCTTCTTCGGCACCTGTTCCACAATCATTGTCCGAATCATTTGCCACGCAGTCGGCTTCTTCATTCTCTCCAACCGGCAGATCTCTGTACGTTACTTTGGTTCCTTTGAAGCATTTCAAGGCCTTTACAATGGGTGGCTTCCTTTTCATACGACTAGAATCTACTTTTGACAATGAAGTATCGGCACCTATCCTCACAGCAGTACCAGGGGTTTTCTTAGCCGAGCTGATACTGTGCAGCCGAGGAATTGCGTCTAAGTTGCCAGGTTCATCAGGATTGATCCCTTTAAAGCTGTCGCCTGAGACTGCTGGTTTAGAATGACCTATCTTCAGTTCAGTTACTCTATGGCATTCTTTTTCATTCCCTTTAGGATCAACAAATATTACCTCGGGACACTGAAGTGGATCATACTTAGTTGGATGAAGAGTTGAGAGCAAAGTTTTCTCGGGCATAATTTCTACGCACTCAAGCATTTCATTTGAACTGGATTTACAAGTTGCACTTTCTGAAATTTTCTCGATAGATGCGAGATTTTGAGTCTGGAAATCTCCCACCTCTGGACCTGCAGCCTCTTCTGAAGAGTCAACTCCATCAGAAATTTTAACGCTAGTAAAACTAGAGCTCGCACCCTCATTAGCTCGAGAAACGTTCGTGCATGACGACGCTGTATTTGTTGGCAAAATGGCGTCAGTCAGAGAAAGTGCATCAGTTGCTGTGATCTCAGAAGTCACCACGCAGAACTCGGAGTTAGAAAGACCAACGGGATCAGCATCCACATGGATCAGAATATCATCGTCGTCTTCTGCATTTTCATCCTTGTCATCTTCCAAACTCAGGGATTGGCTGCCGTCTTCGAGCCCAGTAGATCCGCGACTTGGCAGCGTAATTGGATCAGGGCTATGGAAATGTCCGCAATTTGAACACCGCAACTCTTCCAGTACTTTGTGAAATTGTTCAGTTTCATCGGCGACAGCCATGCTGCCCTTCTGCTCAGCGCCGCTCGATATGCAGCACTGACAACAGCCCGTTGATGCTGAAGGACCAAAAATTATCCTCAGAAACAGAAACCGAATGCGCGTACGTAAGCACAATGCACTAACAGCATGATGCAAGGACAGTAAATGTATGAATAAGAAGATGGAAAAAATAAACCAAAGCTTTCAATAAATTAAAGAATTATAGATTAAAAATATATCCAATGAACGAAACAAGGAGGCAAATATAATTAGAGGACGTGTTAAGCGCATGAAAATCAAGGCACATGATTAAGGAAATCAGTTCGATTTCATTAAATGGAAAATCCTAAACGTTTAGCTGGAAGTTTAGTCGGGGCATACAGAGAAATGGATGATATTATTTATAAATTCATTACACACCAAAAATTAACATCCATTAAAATTCAATCGCATCACATCATGATCATGTCGAATAAGAATGAGAAGAGGTTACGACTGGCCACTTTTTAGATCCTGACGCCTCAAGTTGAATAATCAAAAAAGGTTGAATAATCAAAAGGCGTCAAAATATGACGCCTAAAGTTGGTGAGAGACAAAACAACACTGAGCTAACGTCTTCAATAAATTTGAAGTGTTCAGTTCATGCGTTATTTTCTATTACCTATACAAAGCCCGTCTCATCTCACCTTTTAGTACATAAATGATGCAGCAGCGTCGGTAAATCTTAGTCAGCTTAATATACACAATGCATACGACTGATACAGTGAAGGACAAATTAATGCTTTGTGCTGCAAACCGAAGGTTTAAAATCTCCAAAGACCAAAAAGGCATTATAAAGAGCTTTTCAAAAAGAAGGAAAAAAGATAGCTTCTTAAAAAAGATAGCAAAGAACGTCTCCAAAAGAAGGAAAAAAAAGATGTGATTGACAGAAAACAATCAATAATTTAGGCAAAATTATGAATGAATGGGTCAAACTTGATAATTTTAACACTGAAGTTCTTTAAACCAAGTGAAACTTTTTGATACCCTGCACCGCAAACACGAGCAAATGAGCGTAAAATAAAGAGTAAGAACATCAAGTACGGCAAGCAGGAGCAAGAACCACTCACCTGCTCATACCATCATCCTACTTAACAGCTAACATTCTAAAATAATGTCTATGCCTGAGACCTCATGTCCAACAGGATATATATGAATGTTTGGTGATCTAAAAACTCTTATAATGATTGATATTTATTTTCCTTGTCGAGCTATGAATGTCAGAGGATAGAAAGCAATACTAAGAAATCGTATGGTCAAGAATTTAAGATATACGTTTGTTTTCCATGGAAATATCACCTCCATGACGAATTAAGAAAATGTCAATTATAAATTCAATAAGTATAGTATCTAAAAGAGCAGAATTGCCTTAAGTGTTTTAGGCGACTGAATTTCAAAAGATATCAAAGATATCCTTCCAATATCCATTAACAAAACGGTTGAAAATTTTGAATAGCAAGAATTTCATGCAGTAGATTGTATCAAACCTAGAAACGGCGGGAAACCCAAACAAAGAAAAGGTCTCTAGAAAAACAACAATTTTAAAATATCAATCGCAATCTTAGACAAAGAACGAGACAATTATTTGCAGGAGAATACAGTGGCAGGTCTCACCGTCCCTCACGTCGCCAGACTCTATCTCGTAGAGGCCATCCGCAAAACTGTCGAGTCCCTCGTTCTCGGACCGGGAGCGCCCTCCACTGTCAGGTCCACCCACCGCCCCTCCTCCTCTCGCCCTCCAGCCCGAGTTGATGAACGTGTTGAAGTTGGCACTCGGATCGCTCAGTCGACGCTGAAAACAAACTCAACGTTCGACCAGACTTTCAACCAATACTAATTGAAACTAATTCCTAATTCAACTGTAGATTAATTCTTTGGAGCATCAAATGAATAATTCTGTAGCTAAATTGCCGGGAAACATAATAAGATCTCCATTCTTGAAATATTACTAGAATATTAACTATTGAGAGAATTCCCAATATCATTAAAATTTAGACATAGGATTGAAAATTATTCTGTAACAAATGCAGTGAATGTGAAACGATAACATCATTTATAGGATGCCGAAAAATGGTTGTTGGTCATACTTATAGAATAATGAGAATTTTTGAAGAAGATAAAATGCTAACACAGATGAAGATTGGATAATACACCCTAAACAAACTTGAATTATGTACAAGGTTAATTATAATAAATAATAATGAATTATGTTCTAAACAATCTTGAAATATGTTCAAGGTTAATTATAATAAATAATAATGATTTATGTTCTAAACAATCTTGAAATATGTTCAAGGTTAATTATAGTAAATAATAATGAATTATGTTCTAAACAATCTTGAAATATGTTCAAGGTTAATTATAATAAATAATAATGAATTATGTTCTAAGTAAAAAGTCACCTGGTGACGGTACAGTAGTCGGTCCTCAGGTTCATCGTCCCAGTCTTGGTCCCAGAGATCAGTGAGAGACACGCCAGGCTCTGACGTCGGCGTCTCCACCCCAGAGCCTGAGACGTCCATCATAACAGTAAATTTAACGTGCTTGCCAATAGCATAATATAATATGCAGTTACAAAAGCATATGCTCCACTTATTGCGTAGGGGAGTATTTTTACTCCACTTCTTGCGTAGGGGAGTATTTTATATGCAGTTACAATATGCAATTATAGCATAATAGTTACATAAGAATAATATTTACAAGCCTTATATTATTCACAATTTTTTTATTCCTAAGTAGTCACTTAAGACAGAAACAAGAACATGAACTCAAAAAATTATAGCCAACCATATTGTTGTGGACAATATTTTACCCTGAACGGATCACCAATTCGCAAGATGATATAAAGGTGAGACAGACACAAGTTAACTCCGTTATGATATAAAATAGAATGGACAATAATAAAATAAAAATGCTTGAACAATGGAGAATCGAATTATTCAAAGCCTGCATAAAAAAGAATTAAACATTTCAGCACTGAAAGGTAGGAATGTTTGATGTATGAGCGCAACTATATATCAGAACCGAATCACTGCATTTCATTGCATCATCAAGGAATTGATTTTTCAATGATTGTGTGGAGGAAGCAAATGAGGCTGAGAGTAAATACATGATGAGCAGACACAGACTGAGAGAGAGCGGAGTTGCAAGAATGTAGCGATTGTAAAAAAAAGAGTGGCAGCAATTTAGTATAATGTTGAGGGTGACGATAATGAAAAATTATCCGCCCTACAATACGTTATGATTCGGGAGTGAATTATGTATCATAATCACATATTGTACATATTATGTACAATATGTGATTATGAGTGAATTATTATGATTCGGGAGTGAACGCTGATTTTCAACCTAAGATATTTTAGTCTTTCAGAGAAAGCATTGATAGTTGAGAATTGAATACAGTGGATAGTGAGTAATTGAGTCAGTGGCCTCTTTGGAGTAGAGTTTCCGTGGAAAAAAATGGGGCTGCCACATTTCAACGAACTCAAAGTGACAGTTCTTACACTAAACATAAATTTCACTATCATTCTTGAAAAAAACATTGAAGTACATTATATATAAATACTTATAAATGAGCAAAATAAGCATCAATTTATACATTGTTCATGAATAGGATTTACAATGCAACCTTTAGGTTTAGTAACGGCCATCTCAGCATGTCCTTTGCCCGCTGGGCCCTTCATCCTGACAAACTCGATGCGCTGGCTGTTGTTGCCAGAGAAAAGACCGAGCATCATGCGCTGCGCCACCTTGCTGCTCAGACTTGCCTGCGCATAACATTATTCTGTCAGCATAGAAAATCTCTTTGTAATAGTAAAAAATATAACTCAGTACTCACTGCAGTGAGTGACAGAGAGCGCATTTTCTCGTCGACGAAAACTTGAGGTCACGGACAGACGGACGGACAGACAGACAGACGGATGGATGGACGGACATGGCGAGCACAATGGTGCATTTTTCCATAAATGAGAAAATGCGCTAAAAAGAGTTAATTTTATGAATGTCATTTGAATCCATGCTGCTGCTGAGTATTCTTTAGTTCAAACATAATAAATGCATAAGTGAATTCGCTTGACAGCTTGAGCAGGTTGGCTTATCCATTTTCTAACAGTAATAGTGAGCCTTACTTCAGTCGGGAAAGATCTCCCTGCTTGTGTTACAATACTGAGCAGTAGGTAAGCGTCTATAGTGCAAACATTGTGCATGTACATTGTGCAAGTGTGGGAAGCAATGAATACATTATTTGAAAAATGTGATGTGACAACTTGAGTAAAGTAGTAAGTGATTGCTGGTCCCGTTTTTGACGGATCTGTTTTTCAAATCTAAGGTAATTCCATGACCATCACTGGCTTGTTGAACTCACTAGAACAATTTTACTGCATTACAAATCAATTGCACAAATATTGCAAGAAAGGCGTGCGACTTTCAGGTAAATAAAACGGATAACTTTGAGGGAGAAACAAGAAATATATTCATTCAAACTTGCTATTTACTGAAACCTTGTTTGTTATCATTTTCCCATTGCCCCGACTTACTCGTGCATCATAGACCCTTTTGAGGGCATCATATCGTATGGACCCCAGAAAGATAACTGCTTGCCGGGTGCCTGAATGATCAGCGGCCACAAGTTCCACGCAGACCATCTCACCATCCCGCACTTGCATATCACAGAAAACCTGTGGCGAAAAAGGCAGTCAAAACTTACAACTTACTTCAAGTACAGATATAATGAAACCATCTTAAATACTTTTATGGATATTTATTACAATTATTATTACAATGAGAATTCTTCCATTAGTGTAACGGTGAATACTACAAGAAGATGTTTGTGAAACAGTGCCAAACCTCATCAAAATTATCCACATGGAAGCAGACATTTGGATACGTAATTTCTTCTACTTCTCCCTTGGTGTCCATGCGTCTCCTGCTTGGGCTGGCATACACTTTCTGAAAACCAAAAAAAAGTAATCAAACACATGAAAAAATGGGACAGATAGAAGGATTAGAATTCAAGAAGTTTAATAAGCAGTAAGCACAACTTGAAGAAATATCAAGTTATGGATACAAAAAGCTATTCGTTAGACAAAAGTTAGTTATTTAGTTAAAAAAGTTAGTTAACATTCTAACTCAGAAATGTAATTTTACAGTAATTACATTCAATACAGCAACATACCTGAGAATGACGCTTGAGGACCTGGAGATCTTTGGGACTGGTCCGTGTGCACACAGCCAATGTGAGTGTGTAGTCAAACTGGTGAATAATAAGGTTGAGGTAGACAGTTTCTTCCCAATCTATGTCTGGGTCTCCAATGGGCAACTTTCTGCTGTCCTTCCTGTACACTTCAACTTCAGTCTGCACATAGGAAAGAGCATGAGCTCCTAATGGATGAGCTTTAGACTATGTTGCACCCCTATTTCTGTGGATTATACTAATTGAATAGTTTACCTCATTCATCAGCAACAATGAAAATTCTTAGTTATTGAAATCATTTGTATTACTATATCACACAAACGTCATATGCAGTAGAAAAATTACACATGTTAATACATTTTATTGAACAAACCTGGTATTTAGGAACATGTCTAGGCCCTCTAACATGTTTTTTCCTAATAAAAAACAAAAGGTCATCAGCATCTGTTGATCTGTCGGTCTGGAAGAGGAAGTGCCGCACGAAGAGATCCGTCCAATACGTGGTGCCATGAACTACAACAAAGCCAGTGTCTGATGAGAGAGGGGATATCATGCACAAATCACAATGTATACTATATATCATTCCAAATCAACGAGAGAATCGGCAGTGAACAATACCAAATTTATAGTCCTCAAATGACCAAGAACAGTGAAAAAATAAGTAAAAAGCATAAAGGTCCTGAAGCATAATAATTCAACATCAACCATCAAACTATAAATCTAAAAGATTCCATGTCAGAGATTATCAATTGGTTCTTCTATCTTCAGCTTCTAACTGAATTGTATAAAAGTAAAATTGGCAAAAAGCCACTCTTAACCCTTTCCCGGGTGGACATAGAAATACGATGATATTGCAATATTTGATGATTGTACTTAAAAGTATGACCAATTCTAAGATATATTTACTCGTAAGCATTTTTCGAAAAATTTTGTATAGGTACAAGTAGTAGATCACAATTATTGAAGTGATCATATATGGGGCTTTGCCGGCTTAAGGTATAAAAAATTTGCGGATTTTGACACTGAAAGTTTACTATTTAGATGGTGGAAAACATCTTGATTGCTCTTTTATGCATGTATTATAACACATACAAAGGAAGCAATCAAGTTGAAAAAATTATAGGTACATTTAGTATTTTATGGCAAGATATTTCCAGACCATCCATATAATGAGACATCCATGCCGTATGTAAAGAATCACATTCATATACAACATATACCTAAAATTTGTGAATTAATTGTCAGTAAAAATTAGTATTGGTGAAGGACATGTTATTGTCTGGGTCAGTACAGAGACCATCTTGCTTGCAACCACGTTGGCTCTATGTTCTGTAGCGAAGGGAATGCCAAGAGCTTGGACTGCAGTCAAAGTCAGGGAAAGCATCAAGTGCTGAACTATAGGCACGTTAGACTGAAAAACATGTCTTAAGTCATAATACCGCTAACCACTAAATGCTAACAAACATATTTACCAAGCGCTGTAGAAATTCACCTTTAGCGGGCATATGACCAAACATAGTCACTTCCACCTCTAAGCACTGGCGGGCGTATGCTCATACATGATCACACTAATTTTTGCCATTATATTTCACCATCTTGCATTTGCTTCAAGTAAATGGCATCATAATCAGTTGATAAAGCAAGTTTTTAACTATGATACTAGCAACTATCATGGCCTTTCCTACAGTTCTTCAAGGGCTAGAGCTGCTAAAGTGAATACAATGAGGGCCCAAAATGCCATTTTGCCATTTCTTCAGAGTACTTGGTTTTTAATTTAGCTCACACAGACAAAAGAGCGAGTCAGAGCGCTACGTCATACATGACGTAACTCGTACACGATCTGTGATTGGTTGGAGCTTGTTGGCAGGCTGCCCCAAGCAATGTGGGTGATGTGGGGGGCTTTTTTTTACTCCCATTTTAATTACCATATATGGTAACTTACCCGCGAAAGGGTTAGATCCATAGCTTGACAGCCTTGAGTCCTTTGATTATAACATTCCAATTTGTCACTTGCTGAATGAGCAGAATGACTTGTTATTGCTTTCAGTTTCAGACTTGTGTTTCTTAATATAGCTAGCCTACCTGCTATAATTTGCTATCTGAGTATCTGCCATTCTGGTGCACAGGGATAAGGATCAGCCTGCATCTGCATTCTGCAGTAAAGACTGCAGCCAGTCTACCCAGTCATGAATTAAAATATGAAATTAGTTTCATAACCATACAACTATGATGCTGCATCATATGATCATAGTATGTAATGCATCATTGATGCATTACAAAACTTCGAATTTTTGAAATCATTCCAGACTTTTGAAGGAAATCTTGACCTATTTAGGTTTACCATTTTAATGCGACTGATATAACATATAGGTATACGCCCGCATACCGGCCTTATTCAATACTCACCAGCTTCTTTTAACATCAAGCATTGACGCATTTCCTTTGCTCTCTGGAAATTAATTTCCTCTATTAATTGTTCTAGTGCAGTCACATTACGAAGAATGTCTTTGGCTCCTAGCCCAGCCATCTTTAACAAAGTAGTTTATAAANTCCACCTTGGCACCTTTTCATATTTATATTACCCTTCATAAATTCTACCAAGCTCTTACGACAACACAAACAATTAAAAGAACTATTAGAAAATTAATGAAGACTGGATATATATAAGATTGAAAGAATTTATCATACATTATATTCATAGTTATACATTAAAAATATAAATACTGTATTTAAAGATAAAATCAAAATCTAAAACAATTATAATCAGGAAAATAATGTATTATATAGATTTTATCGCAAATTTGCAATTTGCAGTCAAGCACTTCATTAAAGATTAAAGAATAAGGTCTAAGCCAAAAAAATGTTTTTTTTTACACTACAAGACTACAAGTTATTTGTAAGTTTTCAATTTTGCCCCTGATTACTGGGGTTTGCTCAGGTTGGGACCATTGGGAAAAGTCCTACTTTTTTCTGAAAAAAAAAATGTGGCTCTAACATCATATAATTTCAGTAGGTATGATATCTCATTCTCACGGATGATAGCTCTACTGTTGTGTATTTTTGTTTAAATGAAAATTGAGGTTTGCACTTTGCAAACATGTCACTTCATAAAATTTTCAACTTCCGCAATCCACATTACTTTACCGTTCCTGCCAAAATATCCTGCACCTGCAAAACGTACCAGTAATCATTGCAATCATAACAAGTCAACCTAAATGTTTTGTTGAAGATCGCGCATAGACAGCATAGTTGTAGACTTGCAGTCACGTCGACGTCAGAGCGGTCAGACTCAGACTACATTAAGGGCCTTCTAGACGCTCAATATTATTGCGCAATATGGTTTGCACAAAATATTGACGGCAGCTCCTAGACGCTCAATATTATTGTTCAATATTCAGTTTTTAATAAGTTATTTGTTTGTGTTTCAGGTACCATCTACAAACCATGAATGGAAACAAATTGCTCAAGACTTTAACGATCAATGGAATTTTTCTAATTGTTTGGGACTAACTATGAAAATTTTTTCAGCATTGTGATGATGGCAGTGGCCAATGCAAACTACGAGTTCCTGATTGTTGATGTTGGAGTGAATGGGCGAATATCAGATGGTGGTGTAATCAGTAACACAAAATTCGGGCAGGCTGACAATACATGGAAAATTCCAGAGCCTGCTCAACTGCCAAACAGCCAGAAAATTTTGCCCTTTGTTTTTTGGGAAGAAAGTTGTGTAGTCAAGAATACATTCGGGATATTGGTAAGCCGATTCGGTGTTTTACAAAAGCCGATAGCACTTTCTTTAGAAAAGGCTGGAAAAGTAACCTTGGCATGTTGCTATTTGCATAATTTCTTGCAAAAGCGCTAATCCCGAGCATATGTCACAACAAATCTTATCTTGTGGACTGTGAGGATTTGCAGGCGGGAATAGTCACGAGTGGATCGTGGAGGGAAGTTGTCAATGAGATAACACCACTCCCATCAAACATCACATCCAAAAACGCAACTAACAAAGCTAAATTAGTTAGAGATAATTATTCAAATTTCTTCAACAATGAAGACCAGGTTTCATGGCATAGAGCTGGGAGACCCCGATATACCTTGATGAATTCCAGCATAAATTCTTCATCAGCTTTTAACATCTGCCATGATTAAACCATGTTGCTAAAATGACGCGTAGATAAGCGTAGAACTGCTCTATACGACCACTGGGGACACACTGACAAAACATTACGCAATATAGCCCCTACACGGCACAATATCTTCCAGTTTGCGCAATATATTTACAAGATTCTAAAAATCACGCAATATATTGCGCAGCCCGTCAATATCGCCCCTAGACGGTCAATAATATTGCGCAAACCTAAATATTGCGCAATAATATTGTGCGTCTAGAGGCCGCTTTAACATGTGTTCAGCTTACAGTAAAGACAAATGTTATTGTTGCTGCCTGACTGTTCACTGTTTTAGGGTAAAATTAGAGATTTGGGGTAACATGTGCATGGACTCCGTAAATAAATTTGCGGCTCATAAATAGCTTTTCATGGCCAAGATATGGAAATCACAGCTCAAAGAAATGGAATCACGGCTGGCAAAACCATAAAACTACGGCTCAATATTCAAAATATTCAATCAAATAGTAACAAAAATATTCAAATAGTTCAAAATATTCAATCACAACTTGCCAAGTAGATATAGGTATTCCATGCCTGGGTTTGCTTTCTGTTTCTGCCTTTCTGGCATGGTAAATTTGGCAATGGCAATGGTCATTGGCTGACTGAGCATTACTATTAGTTAGCCCAGTGCCCCAGTGAGTGAGCCACAGGCCAGGCTGGCCAGCTTAGGCTGCCAGGAGCCCAGGACCCTCCCTGTACCTGTACCTGGCAGTAACCTGGGTCAGTCGTCAGTGCAAGCTTATATTGCTGACACTTCTTATCTATTCTATTCTAAGCTGAAGCTGCACCTTGCAAGGCCTGGAGTAAAATAAAAATTCAGTACAATAGTGACAATGTGACATACTGACAGTCACTGACAATACTTTCTAATTTTCTGATTATAACATTCCAATTTGTCACTTGCTGAATGACTTGTTGTTGCTTTCAGAGTTCAGACTTGTGTTTCTTAATATACCTGCTATAATTTGCTATCTGCCATAATCTGGTGCACAGGGAAAAGGATCAGCCTGCATCTGCATTCTGCAGTAAGACGGCAGCCGCCAGCCAGTCTGCCCACAACATAGTGGCAAACCAGAGCTTTTTTAGAATCAGTTCATTTTGAATTTCCTCATTTAATCAAGATTTAAACCAATTTCTTAAGTATGATAATGCTGGTATCCAGGATACTTTACAGTTTACTGGTCTACTTATAGGACTCAAAAATGAACTTGAGGGAGAGTCTAAAAAACTCTCTGCTTTGCCACTATGGCCCACAATGCCCCAGCCCAGTCATGAATTAAAATATGAAATTAGTTTCATAACCATACAACTATGATGCATTACAAAACTTCACATTTTTAAAATCATTTCAGACTTTTGAAGGAAATCTTAACCTAATTAGGTTTTCCATTTTAATGCGACTGATAGCCTACTCAATCAATCGTCAGCTACCTAGGTTTTAGAAAGATCGGGTTCCAAAGGCCGGATCCCTTGTGAATCAAGTCACGAAAAGTTCAAGAATCGGCAACAGGCCATGGGCCTATTTCTTCAACGCCGACACTTCTTTTCTATATAGGTATACAGTAAACACCGTAGGTATACCGGCCTAATTCAATACTCACCAGCTTCTTTCGACATCAAGCATTGACGCATTTCTTTTGCTCTCTGAAAATTAATTTCCTCTATTAATTGTTCTAGTGCAGTCACATTACGAAGAATGTCTTTGGCTCCTAGCCCAGCCATCTTTAACAAAGTAGTTTATAAATGATTTTGACGAAGTCTAAGATAAAGAGCACTATTCACTAGGTAGCTGTTTTCATTTCACCACTTTTCGACTTGCGTGCGTCAACATAACCAAATGAAGTTTGTCAATTTGGCAGACGACTGTCATAGAAAACTATGTCTATGATACACCATGACCCACCGTATTACTGTTTTATGTTTACTATGTACTTACTATGTTCTATACTGTTATTATGATTCACCAGGACCGTATGAAATTGTTAATTGTAACCATATATATTTTTATATACCAAGAATTACCTTCGGCGTAAAATTTTTCTAAATCTAGAAATATATTTACTTTTTAAAACGGCAAAATGCTGTTCTAATTTCATAAGTCCCAGTTTAGATGTTTCTGAAATAGAAATGATATAGATGATTTTCTAAATTAAACCTGCAAATTATCCAAAATTTACAACAGATTCACAATAAAACGGCCACAATGCTGTTCTAATTTCCCGACATCTCGCTTGGAGTCGCTCAAACGTCATTCGAAATACTGATCTTATCAAATCTCAGGGATAACTTATCCCGTTCAACGCCGGGTTCAAATTATAGCTATCTTTCATATATGCGAGTACATGTGGGAGCAGAAAAGTTCTTTGAATCAATTCACTGTTATGATAAATGTATAGTGGGCGATTCCATGTACCATGGGCGATTCTTGCGAGTCTCTAAAAGATACATTCAGTCAGTGGGTATTGCCTGCGCCTTAATTTTTATTTGTTTTTATAGTCGTGAGACGAAAGAAATGAGTATTTTATTGAAAATTAAAATAAGACTTTAAATTCAGTATCTCTACAGAACTCTCAATTTTGAAATAAAAAATAACTTGAANTCAACTACTATTAATAGATATGGAATTACAGGATTCTTATATCCTACAGGGATTATCTTTTCTAAAAGGAAATCGCCAAAACAGTGAATGGCTGCCTTATTAAACTAAAGTAGTGGTTCACGTTGAATAATAAACATAATTTATTTCGCAACAGTCGACAGATTGGCAGGTCGATACCTCAATCTAGAAACTCCTTTTTAGCTCCAGTTGACATCTTCTGTATTCTATTTATAAGGGCAACCTTTTATCTCTTTCACAATAGTCTGAAATGGAGAGTATTATTTCATGTTCTTTATTCAGCTGCCTGTGACACAACTAACGCTTCCCGTCATGCAAGTTGCCATTTTCTACAACACCACCATCTAGGTTAACACACCTCAACATGATCATGGTTGAACTAGTAGTTTATAGTTCAACCGTGAACATGATAACCCTGAACGCTTTAGAACGCTGCTTTTCACAAATTTTCCGGAAAATTGCTTTACAATTGCTCATTCACATGTAGAGAAACGTCGTACCATATGCATGATTACTGAATACTTAAGTAGGTGATGGCCGTCCCCAGGCAATTGCCTCTCAAACTGAACTATTCTCACCCCCTTCCCGGCAGTCACAAACACTGTAACGCAGCTCACTTCAGTATCATGACTACGAGTACATAATGAAAGGTTATGATGTTTGTAGACGTTTTTAATGCCAACTCAGCCGGGAATTAAAAAAGTAGTCATTATTAAACAGGGATCGCTTGCTTGATGTCTCCTTAATTCTAGCCCACCAGATGTAGTTGCATTTCTAGTGCGATTATGCATGTATCGAATAAGATTTGTGCAGTCTGATAAAGTCACGAAAGACTTCTTGGATAGTATTAATCAGTAACATGAATAACACCCGCATATTCAAATGACTAATAAAAAATAAATGATGACGGGCGATGTGGGTTTGAATTTTTATGAGGAGAGAAAACTCGGATGTAAAAGAATCGAATGCCTCTCGGGTTGAATTTCCTGCGCTGAATTTCCTAAAATGCTCATGATATTTAAATATATTTCTGTCGTGGCTTTAGAGCATGGGAACATGCTAAAATATAATTATCAATATTCAGTTGATGATTATTCCTGTTACCTTTAATTAAACGATCAAATCGCTCGAGAATGGCAAGTGTAAAGTGTTTAATGCTGACAAGTGTAAAGTACTTCACGTAGGGAAGAACAATGAACAGTAAGCTTACAGCATGAGAAAGTATGATTGTAACTAGAGAGTAATGATTGAGAAGTCTTGCGTGGAAAAAGATTTAGGAGCTTATGTCGACAGGGGGCTGAAATTTTCTAGGCATATTGAAACGCATGTTGCAAAAATAATAATCAAGATATTAAAACGGCTAATGAATCATAAGTGTAGATAGACATGGTGACATATGCATAATTACTGAACACTTTGGTAGGTGACGACCATCCCCAGGCAATTGCCTCTCAAACTGAACTATTCTCACCCCCTTCCCGGCAGTCACAAACTCTGCATGTAACGCAGCTCAGTTCAGTATCATGACTACGAGTACATAATGAAAGGTTATGAGTTTGTATACGTTTTTAATGCCAACTCACCCGGGAATTAAAAAAAAATCATTATTAAAGAGGGATCGCTTCCTTGATGTCTCCTTAATTCTAGCCCACCATATGTAATTGCATTTCTAGTGCGATTATGCATGTATGATGTATCCAATAAGATTTGTGCAGTCCGATAAAGTCACGAAAGACTTCTTGGATAGTATTAATCAGTAACATGAATATCACTCGCATTTTCAAATGACTAATAAAAAAAATGATGACGGGCGATGTGGGTTTGAATTTTTATGAGGAGAGAAAACTCTGATGCATGTAAAAGAATCGAATACCTCTCGGGTTGAATTTCCTGGGCTGAATTTCCTAAAATCCACATGATATTTAAATATATTTCTGTCGTGGATATAGAGCATGGGAATATGCTATAATATAATCATCAATATGTAGTTGATGATTAATCCTGTTACCTTTAATTAAACGATCAAATCGCTCGAGAATGACAAGTGTAAAGTGTTTAATGCTGATAAGTGTTAAGTACTTCACCTAGGGAAGAACAATGAACAGTAAGCTTACAGCATGAGAAGACATGGTTGCAACTAGAGAGTAATGATTGAGAAGTCTTGCGTGGAAAAAGATTTAGGAGCTTATGTCGACAGGGGGCTGAAATTTTCTAGGCATATTGAAACGCAAGATAATGAATCCAATAAATTTCTTTGACTGCATGATCTTCTTGCATGAAGATCTTACGAGTTCCTAGATGCAGAAGCGATTGAGCTGTTGTTTGTCGGTGATGTGCTCCCGAAGTTTGGAAACGCCGTGTGGTCACCGAAATTTGAAAAGGACATAAGTTTAGTTGAGTGTGTTCAAAGACGTGCAATAAGGATAATTTCAGGCTTGAAAGGCAAGTCCTATGAAGAAAGATTAAAGATTGTGCAGCTTCCAAGCCTCTGTTATCGACGTCTGCGTGGTGACCTCATTGCAGTATGCAAGCATACTCATGGCTTATACAAGTTCCCATAATGATTGCTAGAATTTGAAACAAGAACCAGCAACAGGGGCCACGGCTATAAACTAAAAAAGCAGCGTTGTAACTCAACTACGCGGTAACATTTCTTTTTGCTTCGTGGCATCGACATGTGGAACAGCCTCCCTATAGCTGGTTGCATCGTTGACGCTCCGAGTATAAATGCGTTCAAGAACAGACTAGATAAAGCTGTCTATGGAGATATATGTGTTCAGACATGAAATTCCTAGCACCATAACAAACTTGGTGCAAGTCTAGTAGCTATATCAAACTATTATCAGTTTTGAAAATATCCGGTCAAATAACCTTTTTTAGATTGACGGACAGACAGACAGACGGACATGACGAGCACAATAGCGCCTTTTCTTCCATAAATGAGAAAATGTGCTAAAAAGCAGCGTTGTACGTAACTCAACTATACGCGGTAACATTTCTTCTCGCTTCGTGTCATCGACATGTGGAACAGCCTGGGAGAAGCAAGCAACAGCATCGTGCATCAGGCGGCCCAACTGAGGGCGGATGAACGATAATCAGAGGCGGCGATCCATCGTGACCCGGGACTGCTACCTCCTAAACAAATACTAAGGATACTACTAAGGATACTAAGCCTCCCTATAGCTGGTTGCATCGTTGACGCTCCGAGTATAAATGCGTTCATGAACAGACTAGATAAAGCTATCTATGGAGATATATATGTTCAGACATGAAATGCCTAGCACCATAACAAACCTGGTGGAAGTCTAGGAGCTATATCAAACTATTGTCAGTTTTGAAAATATCCGGTCAAATAACCTGTTTTTAGATCTTCTGTGAACTAGTAACGAAAAAATATACATAAGAGTCTGCAGCAGGCATCATCAGGCCTATTCCTCAACGATGCCATCACAAGGTTTTCTTTCGCTATAGAACGCTACATGTTAACCCTAAACGCTTGACAGCGCTGGGCGTTAAATATATTAATTATAACTTTCGTAAATTTCATCTATACAACAAGATAGATATGTTGACATATGCATGAGTACTGAACACTTTGGTAGGAGACGACCGTCCCAGGCAATTGCATCGCAAACTAAACTATTCTCACCCCCTCCCCGGCAGTCACAAACACTGTAACGCAGCTCAGTTCAGTATCATGACTACCAGTACATAATGAAATGTTATGAGTTTGTAGACGTTTTTAATACCAACTCACCCGGGAATTAAAAAAAAATAGTCATTATTAAGCAGGGATCGCTTGCTTGATGTCTCCTTAATTCTAGCCCACCAGATGTAGTTGCATTTCTAGTGCGATTATGCATGTATGATGTATCCAATAAGATTTGTGCAGTCTGATAAAGTCACGAAAGACTTCTTGGATAGAATGAATAACACTCGCATTTTCAAATGACGAATAAAAAATAAATGATGACGGGCGATGTGGGTTTGAATTTTTTTTGAGGAGAGAAAACTCGGATGTAAAATAATCGAATACCTCTCGGGTTTAATTTCCTGGGCTGAATTTCCTAAAAAATACATGATATTTATATATAATTCTGTCGTGGCTTTAGAGCATGGGAATATGTTATTATATAATCATCAATATGTAGTTAACGTTTATCCCTGTTACCTATAATAAAACGATCAAATCGCTCGAGAAGTAAAACGACATCAGTACAGTGCTGAAATATTAATCATTAGCCAAACAAATATCCTATTTCAGTTTGTGCTTATTCATGACCGGAAGAAAAGACTATCAACAGCTTCTTGGACACGGCGCAACGTGACCTAACTTCTTTAAGGCATTCTACCTGAAGGCCCAGCGATGCCCACCTTATGTTATATGGGTATGCTTTGATGCCAGATAATAATTCAATTATTCATTGATCATGCACCACAGTATTGGCGTCTCTTTCTGTGCCAATAACAAGTACCAGATACGTCATGCAGCGGATCTACTCCATCAGAAATAACCAGCGTATATAAGAGATTTAACCAAATACAATATTGGAGTTTGGTATATGAAAAGATATTAGATAACGCGATGAGTGACTTTATCCTTAACTGAACTATTATTACATCTCACAGAGGCTGCAATCAAACGGAGCAGTTCTCACCTTGCTACTTTGTAGGCAGTGATTTTATAGCCAGCGTCATTAATTACCTCCGCTGAAACGCAAGGAAGAAACGAGTTCTATATGGAGAGCGTTCATCTACCTGAAGCCTACGAACATTCGCGTTGCAGTATTATTTCGTGGAACACTACATGAAATAGTTTCCCAGTAAATATATATATGATCAAGGTGGGAAATTTCGAATCAATAACATTCTGGTGTTACTTTTATAGGCATCATCATGGTTTTAATTTTTAAATAATAAAATTTTCAATTCAAGTAAATGATTTGAATGAATATGGTATCAAGTAATTTATGTTTACCTTATTCTCTTGACAATTATTTTGCAGATGTTAAAAAATCCACACAAAATTAATAACTTCTGCTAAATTTTTATGAAAATATTAATATTGTGGCAGTCAATATTCCTATTAGACTTTATTATAAAACAGGAACTTATGACTAGCCCGAGTGAGATTACAGCTCTGTATATTTGATTTTAAAGCATAGGTTTTTGTTATGACAAATCATACGGGACAATCATCAGATAAATAAATAAAATAATCTGCTTGTGCGTGCGCAGCTTAGATTTTTTATGATATTCTTATCAATTTTTAATCTAATAGAATATTACGTATGAACAGATGAGAGCTCTCGTATAACTATTTCAAACGGCAAAGCCATTATGAGAAAGATCATGGCTCATATCTTTATTAGAATTGCAGATTGAGTGGCCGCTAAATACATACACAAGCTCACAACCAATTCTGTTTTGCCTACCGAGAATGTGTATATGACCGGGGAATTCAGTAGCTATGGATCGGATGCAACGTTTTTAACACCTAATGCATACAAAATTAGAAAAAGCATCATAGCATTTACGGAAGCTGCGGGGTATAAAGCGCTTGGGCGTACGGATATGATCGCTATAGATTTCGTAATACGAAAATTGATTAAAGGACTGCGGAAGAGTGGAATAAATAATTGAATGATTAGTCAAAATTTTGGCATCGCTGCTGCCCTGCAGAGCACCCTCCTCTTCATGAGGCGTCCTATAGTCCGACCGTCGCGGACATTTTGACCGCTAGGTCATGCACAAGCATCAAACATTTGTTCAAACAGAGAATGTTTTCTTTGCTAAAAATATTGAATAACACACGTAGTGAAGTTTCCTATTATAAAAAGAGCACTTGGACCAATATATTGTCTATTTAGTGTTGATTCATCGCAAGCCTCTTTTTCAAGTAATACTGAATATAAATCATAAAATAAAATGACTAACATGACAGCTGCTCGCAGATAAGCAGATTATTACCAGATTTTAATAATAATCTTTTAATATTTAAGGCCATGCCAGCGATTTGTGCTACAAAGATGTCGCGAACTTGTAAGTAATTAATATGTTCATTGGGAAATATTACATCAGAATATTGCAATATCGCGAGACTGGGCCCTGGAGTGGCTGACATATAATCAATAACTGAATTTAATCTTGAAAAAACCCGATTTGAAAACGGTTTCTAGACTATCTATGTATGCCAAATAATTAGTATTTTCGTACGTACTTAAAATGGATAAATATATTACTACGGCCGGTCATTGTGCGTCCAGAGATGAAGATGATGAAGTAGTATTAGAACATAAAGATGCAGAATTGCAATTGTCAGAGGACGAGGAGCCATCAGTGACAGTGTCTATGTCAGTCGGCTCACCTACTAAGGCTAGTACAAGTACTTGTACTTCGCGTTCACCATTGCCATCGGCATCATCTGTTCAGGACTGAAATACGTCTAATCCTTGGCCCTTTCTTGAAAAATATTATAACTTCACTGGTGTTAAGAGAAATAATGTTGAGTTTAAATGCGTAATTTGTGCTCCAAAGATAAAAATTATATCTGCAAATAGAAGATCAATGTACAATCTGAAACTTCACATGACCCGCGTGCATCCAAATTAAGCTAAAGAGTTCAACAACCTCATTGCAACTGCTACAAAAGAACGCAAGAGAAGTCGTAGTGGTACGAAAAAGAAACTGACACTCAATCTTCTCCAAAACAGCAGAAGATTGAACAGTCTATGACTTTCGCCAGTAGAGCAGTCATTCAGTCTAAAATTGACCAAGAAATAATCACTTTTTTTGTAGTGGGTGTAGCGGTAGCGGTAGCGGCCGCTACATTTAGAGCATGTAGCGGTAGTGGCCGCAACATTTATAGCATGTAGCGGTAGTGGCCGCTACATTTAGAGCATGTAGCGGTAGCGGCCGCTACATTTAGAGCATGTAGCGGTAGTGGCCGCTACATTTCAAAGTATCGCTACCCAGCTCTGCTGACAAGAAAGGATAATTGAGCTCATGACTTTGTATTATTTTATAATTAAGCAGTAACATTAAACATATACATCAATAGTCGAAACCTTATATTTGGTATAGAGATATAACGAATGTGATGAGCTAATATCATAGCAATATGATCGCATCACATTCTTTTTGAAGTAATAAACTGAACACAATGACAAACAGCGCCATTATCAGTGAAGTTCTCGCTGAGCTCATAACTCATACTCAAGAAAGGGGCAAAAACAGTCAATGTAAACATGATCAATATTCAATATAGCTTTGAACCAAAACACATTATTCATTAATTCATGGAGTGCAAGGATAAAGTATACAAACCATTAAAATACAAATTTTACAAACTTTTCTTGTAGAAAGACAGTTCCAGAAACGCTAAATTGAGTATAAGTTCGTTCATCTCAAAATCCTCCTATATGATACGTCAGCGAGATTAACTGTAGGTTAATCACCAAAGGAATGCAGACACAGGAACTTTAGACTTGAGACCGATGAGAGCCTATCAGCTCTGAGCAGTACACTCAATGGTGCTCATAAGATATACCTACGCAGTCGCTGCACCCGCACTTTACATAACAAAGACTAAACAATTTTTCCGAATTTTAAAGACACAAAGAAACATAATTTGAAAGTGCTACAGAAAACCAACAACGTTTTACGTTCTATTAAAACTGTGCAAGACAAAGATCGGCGAGCTAAATAGAGACAACAGCCCCCCCGTATCTACGCAAGTCCAGCACCATCAGCTACAATGTCTGTACAAGCATGCAAATTCCCCACATATTTTAGAAGTATACAAGCCTGCAAAGATGAAGTTTTCGGGGAAAATTTACAAGATTATTGACAAGCACAATAAAGCAGCTCAACGTAACACGACGCCTACAAATGCCCCCTACGACGTTAGGTGTGCCGGTAATGACCGAACAGATAATACAATCGGCATAAAAGACTGACAAAGAATATAAATACTTAATATTAACCTTACATAAAAATGATAAAGCATTTTCAAAGATCTATCGTACAAAGAAGCCTATGACAGTGAAGATCTACGTAAGAGAAATATACTACAATTTGAAAGAGGACAAGAAGGATGTGCGAGGTGCCACAAAGAAGAAGCTTCCATTAATATTGAGATCACGCAGTGAGCATGGAAATGCCATCAGGGTGATAGACACATTTTTCCAAACATAAAAGTGGTAACAGAAGCATTATATAACCAAGCGCTTGTCATTCATTTAGTAAGATGTCCAAGCGTTCGACATTCGTCTGGCATTCATTTTCCAAGATGTCCCAGTAATTAAATCGTTAAAAATGCATCACAATCACTTTGAACTTGGAAGATTGTCATGTCTCGGAGTCTCCGTCGCAGCGCTGTCACTGGGGGCCTCTGACTGCGGGGAGGCAACGGGTGTAGAAACTGGACCAACGCTGGGCTTGTCTACCACGTCGCCCGGAGGTGACGATCTTGAGGTGGGAGGTGATTTTTCACCGGCGATTTCTTTTGGGTTCTGCTGGGATTTCATGACAGGTTCAATATAATTACTGTTTGACTCGAGCTTAAGACGAGCTGGAGTCACAACTCGAGTGATAGTAGCAGCTGTGGAGGCCGAAGGAGAGGTGCGACCTGGGCTGCTACTATTACGATCTACAGGGACAATAGATAGCGTAGCCAAAGAGTTTACTGGCGAACATGGAGCGCCATTCACTAAATTACCATTAAAACGACCAGTGCTCACAGAGGCACTGTTAGGGCGCAAAACACCGTTAGCGGCGCCAGTCTTGACCGCAGAAACGTTTGGTTCTAAACCACCGAGACGAGACTGCTGAGTGATTGTGCTGGAGACTCTTGAGGTGGCAGAAGAATAACTTGGAGGAGGTGGTGGCGTCCCGTTACGACGTGCCTGAAGCTCTGTCCATGTCGCCCCCAAAGCCTTCGCAAAATGATCGTCAACTGGAAAAAAAATTGTATATAGCTACCAGAAAATCTAAAATATGAAAGTATTACTGATGATGTCCAAAAATTAAGTTTATGATAGCGATGCATCAGAGTACAAACTTAGAATTCGAGCTTTCGTTCAGGAAACGTTTTGGATGATTGCATCAAAATTACGATGCCCGACACAGTATCGAAATACTCAGTGATACTAATCGTGAATATTCAACATGTAATTTAGCCAAGTGATTGCAAAATATCATGATAATTAGTTTTCCACGGACAAGAATCAAGAATTAAAGTACCTGAGTCAGTGGAAGGCACTCTGGGAGGAGAACGCGGCTGCTGAGGCAAAGCCTGCGGAGGAGCGATCTGTTTCTTGTGCCGTACGTCCCTGCCTGGAGACGCTGCAGCAGAAGGGGCGGGCGCCACGACAGGAGCAGGTTCCACTGACGGTGTGGTCACGGCCGCATCAAAAATATGATGGTAGGTCTTGCCCAGACTACGGCGGAAGTGCTCGTCGATCTCAGGGTCTACGGCACCAGCGGCTGATCCTGGAACAAGACGGTAAAATGAGAAGAATGCTTCAGCTCAACAAGTAAGCAACTAATACATTAGAGTATAGCGTTCAGGGATCCCTTTAGTGAACTTAATAGGGAAGAGTGGTAGCGGACTAGCGGTCCTAAGCCTTCGTCGTTACGAACAGGTAAGCTAGGTTAAAGACAAGATCTTTAGTGTCAAACTCGGGAAAAGTTATCAAGTCCGAAAATATGTTCATTTATAAAGTTATTTCAACGTTATGCAAACCAGGCTCTTTAGGTCATCATAGATAAGTCAACGCTTTAACGTCATCCGTATCTCTTGAACTAGGCAAGACCTCGAAGCCCTGCAATAGACCTAACCTAGCACACGTTCCACAGGCATCATAACATGGCCAAACTTTACTTGAATTGAAATGCCTAGCACCATATTGAACCCGGTGAAAGTCTAGTAGCTATTTCAAACCATCGTCAGCCTTGAAAAGATCCGGTCAAATTACACGATTTTAGATCTTCTGTGAACAAGTCACGAAAAGTTCAAGAATCGGCGACAGGACGTTTTCTTCTTTTCAAGAAGAAAAGTTCAAGAATCAGGCCTACTCTCTAGCGCCGACATCACTACGTTATGTTATGTAAAAACAAAGGCTAGCATGCAGCACTGCAGCAGCCATGAGTGAGGCAGAGAGCGCAGACACAATGAGTCACTGCGCGGCTAAGTGACTCATGCTGTCAGGATCACTACATCGTGCTTTACTCCAATGAAGCTGCCTCATCAAAAGTGTTTAATGTATCTACACCGCATCAGCGTGACCGTGGACTACGACGTCCTAAACTCATCACAAGGTCACAAGGTGTATCTACATGTATCTACACCGAATGTATCTACACCGAAGGAGCCAGAGTCAGGGCAGCAAAAAGCATAAAGCGAAAACAACAAGCTTCCATAACGAGAAAATTGGCAAATAATAGCTCCCCAACCATTATCATTGCAAACGCGAACGCTATTTCTAAACGTTAATTAGTTCAACGAGCATGAATTTAAGATTCGCGATATTCTAACATATAAAATTCAACGAGCAATTGTGAATCTATAAAATTTTATCTGCTGCTGCAATGACAATTTAGGAAAATAAATAATAATGAACAATAATTCCAGTGTATCAGGCAATGACAAAACGTAGTTCGTGAAGGTATAAAAATGTCGTGATCATATGTCAACTAAAACTACAATCCACGGCTGATGGGAAACAATCAACAGCGACACGAAGGCGCGTGTACTCCGTTAGCAATATCCGTTATCTAAGAGAGAGTTTTTCGTTATTAAATCCTCATCTTAAAATTCATCATCCATATTTTATCACTTGTCTAGCGCGTGTAAAGCAAGTAAGAATAACTAGAAAAAAAATAACATCATATACCGTCAAATAACGCTTTGCAATTTCCGGGAAATAAATATGTAATGCAAAATAGAAACGTGCAATACTTTTGGAAGCAATATTACCATGAATATGGAAATTATTTTTTACGATTCAAGGGCCGGTCTGTTTCTTGTGAGCATTTCACGTGCGCCGGCATTTGGGGTAACGTCATAGAGGAAGCTCGACTAGACATCGCGGTCCAAGTTGACAGAGAAGTTCGTTGCGGAAACTTAAGTGATCTTTAGCAAATACCATGAATGGTTTGTTATCAGCAGAAGTTGGGGATTAGCGGACGTAGTAATGTCAAGGGACGGGAGCCGGGGACAGTTCCAGCGTCGCTAATTGCTGCCTTTTGTCCGCAAGCTACATAAGACGAAAACATTTCGGTAATAATTACACGAACGGTGGGCTGGGAATGCCGGAAAAAAAGTCACAGTCGCTCGAGATATTTACGGGTAACCGCAAGAAGTCGTCTGAGGAACGCAAGCGATGCGCGAGCTACGCAGAACGGGCAGCTGAGACGCCTCGGGCGGCGTGCTCGGCATAGCGGCGCAAGGACAGCCAGGGGAGGGAGGGAGGGGGAGCATAGGGGGTGCATGCGATTGACTGGAGTCTGGAGGAGACCATCGAGCTGAGGGAGCTTAGCTGGAAACATTGCGTGCTCGTACATATGAAACAATAAAGGCGTCTTAGGTTCGAATATGAAAAAATTTGCCTAAATATTTGTTTTATTTATCGAACTTATGAGCAAAATACAACCTTTTTCGTAAAATAGGACTACACTCTTCAATATATCAAACTACGATGCCATCAAAATCAGTATGGTAGAATACAGAAGCTTGTTCACCTCGTATGTCAGTACAGAAAATGTAATGCATTCACGGGGTAGTAAGCGACGGCATCTCATTCGACGGTTGGCAACTTAAGTCCTAGAAAATATCGTGTGCCAAGCAGCAAGCCAAGGAAAAGGACGTACAACACAGACGACATTCCTAGCCACAAACCCCATTCAGACAAACAAACTTCACAAAAACTCCGAGCACAGTTTACCCAATCGTATGATTAAATCTAATTATAAAGATACAATATGTAGTTCATGAAGATGTTTTAGGTCCACAGAGTGAGTGAACAGGTTTATATGATATAATATAATATAATATCGTTTCCAGGTTGGTTTCAGTTTAATCAAGTTTTAGTTCAACAAACCTTAATTTATTCACGTAGTCCCCTATTTTCGCACTGAGAAACTTCCATGGTTCAAACAAACAAATATAGGAAGCAGAGATGACATTTTCCAATTTCTAGACTTAAATTCGTGTCAAATATGTGAAGTATGTAGAAGAGATAAACATGGAAATACTTCTCCACTCTTTCGTGGTCAACCGCATGCAGAAGGCTATGAGAACGTGAATGAAGAAGGGCCGACATCAACTGATGTGCAGTTCAAGGGTCAAACTATCAGGTGGCCACGCAGATCACAAAATATGTTGATATTTTAGTTCTACTAAAGAAAATGTGAAGCAAAATGCTCGTTCTGAGGGGAAACTATCCAATTCACAAATATTGAAACGCTTATGAGAAGCGTCACTGAAATGTAGATGTAAATCATTGTAGTACATATTAATGGATGTGACACATGAACACCATTGGACAGATCTCCTCTTTTTCATCGGTGGAAATCCGCCCAAGAGCACGGGGCAGTGATGAATCACAATTTTTACGGAAAACGCGCAGAGGTGATGGCCACGTAAAGTTTTTCATTGAGCACGAGAAAAGATAAGCTAACGTGGAACAATCATATGCAGAGGAGTGCGGTGGGGGGTGTGAGGTCATGGAGGCGTGACCGCGCGCGCCGTTCACCCCCTTATAAGGCATCGCATTTACACTCTCTCTAAGAAGCGTCGGATGACCCCACGACCGACCGACCAGCGCACTATGCAACGCGACAGCACTGCAGCCTGACGTTCACACGTAAATGAAACGCAACGTTCCTCTCATATTATTAGCATATGGTGATCAACTTACAGGATATATTATGCGTGTTACATGATTTAGATATATTGTCACTTCATTTATTTAGAATGAAGAAGCAACTGAAAATTTTATGATTTTTTTACAGGAATGGCTTAAATAAAATTAAATATCCAATATATAATTTGTTTTATCCATTGGGATCAGATTAGATGGATAATTTGATAGGTTATATATGACTCATACGTCAACAGTTCAATATTAATACAGATAGACTTCATGCGCATTTGTAACTTATTAGGATAAAAACTAATCCAAATAAACTTATTTTTCATTTTTCTTATTCATTTTGCCTTCATTTTCAGAGTATATGTATATCCTGTTGTGGCTGAGAGCAGAGAGCAGACAGCGCAGCTTAAATTGACAACTGAATTTACGAAAGCAATGCTCATAATTCAATTCTGTTCACGGACAAACGGATAATTCCAGTTTAGCGAGTGTGTTCCATGATTTAGATATATTGTCACTTCATTTATTTAGAACGAGGAAGCAAATGAAAATGTTATGAATTTTTTTACAGGAATGGCGCGTTGCTGAGAGCGCTTGTGAGCGTTTTAGGCTATACGGCCAGACTAAAAGCGTTGACGCTGACGCTGGCTGCGCAAATCTAGTGCCCACAGTAAACACCGAAACGCGTGGCATGCGAATACGAAGTCAGTGTGTACGAATGAAAGTCAGCAAGAGACTAACAGCCGTTCTCCTTGATAAAGGTTTTATAGGGGAATAAAAAATTAATTTAGATATCCCATATATACTTTGTTTTATCCATTTGGATCAGATTAGTTAGATACTTTGATAGGTTATATATGATTTATACGTCACCAGTTCAATATTAATACAGATAGACTTCATGCGCATGTGTAACTTATTAGGATAAAAACTAATCCAAATAAACTTATTTTTTATTTTTCTTATTTATTTTGCCTTCATTTTTAGAGTATATGCATATCCTGTCGTTGTCCGAGAGTAAATAGCAGACAGCAACAGCCTAAATTGACAACTGAATTGACGAAAGCAATGCACATAATTCAATTCTGTTCACGGACAAACGGATAATTCCAGTTTAGCGTGCACGATTAGATGGCCATGAGACCAAGAATAGCTGCGCTATAGCAGCACATTACGCAAGCGCGACTCACGTAACACAGCAGCGGCCTGAGGCTGCATGGCTCGCCAATGCAACCTTCCGAGTGCTAACGAACGGCAACCCTCACGAACACAGCAGCGGCCTGAGGCAGCACGGCTCGCCAATGCAACCTTCCGAGTACAAACGAACGGCAACCCTCACGAACACAGCGGCGGCCTGAGGCTGCATGGCTCGCCAATGCAACCTTCCGAGTGCAAACGAACGGCAACCCTCACGAACAAAGCAACCCTTCGCGTTCGCCGTCCATTTCTTCCTGGCCGCTGAAATCCAAGTTCGTAAATTTTTCAAGTGTCAAATGTAATTGGGGGCAAAGTAAAAGAAATAATTGAGGGATGTGCTGGCATTAATTTTTCAGAGGTGCTTGGCAGAGGTCATTAGATCGGTGCTCGTTCGGTTCATTGTATGTTTTTTGTTTTAAA